GGCCCTCCATGCAACAAGGAACAAGGAAGGAGGAAGAAGGGCCTCTGAAAAGTGTCACGGCTCTCAAGAAACAAGGATGCAGCTCTTCTGGTTTGACTTCATTTCCCTCAACGAGAGGGAAAGTCCTTTAATCAGGGAGAGTACATCTGCTATGCCGGGGATAAGAACAGAAACTCTGGCATTGGTCAACTACGTTTGTCGGGGGCCATGAGGATGAAGGGATAGAAAACTCTCTCTCTTTTCAATAAATGTTATATCGTGGATAGGTGAGCCGAGCCGTCTTAACAGCAGAGACTGTCCTCCAAAGGAAAAACGTCAGAACGTGAGCATTAGTCGTTTCGGCAAGCGGTCAGAAATGACATTTGCTTACGTCAGAGGGACAAAGCCTCTCCAGCTGTGATAGCCATTATGATGGGAGCAAAAACGGAAGTCAGGTTGAGTTGTTATAGAGCAGCGAAACCGGGCTGGATGGACGGGTTCAAACAGGCGATATTGTCTTTTCTTAAAGGTCTCTTCACCTTAAACTCCCAGTGTGTAGGATGTACGGGATCTATAGGAATATAACAGTAATAACTATATTTTCATTTGTGTATAATCTCCTGAAACTAAGATTCTTTGTGTTTTTGTTAGCTTAGAATAAGCCCTTCATATCTACGTATGGCAAGGGACGTCATCATGGAGTCCGCCATGTTGCACCGTCCGTGTTTCTACAGTAGCCCAGAATGGACAAACCATAGAAATAAAATAGGAGTAGAAGGGACGTTCCCAATCAAATCAACGTAGCTGGATGGTCAGAACGGTGGCCATTTATTTTTTACCATTTCGACCGTTGTAGTGGGCTAACTTCCAAATAAACTAAACCGAGTTATGGTCAGCGAGTTGAGGTTTTGCAGTAAAGACTAAAACAAAGAGTGGAGTAGAAAGCACATTGATATCGCCAGATCAGAAAATGCTTCTATGTGTTGTTCTTGAGGGCAGCAGCAAACCACGGTTTTTGTTGTTAAATTTCGATGACTTGTTGTAAAAGCAACAACTTTTGACTGTGAATTTGACCAACATGAGCATGAAAGGGCAAAGACACTTTTTAAAGGCAACTAAAAAAAGGACTACCACAACTACTAAAGGCTGCGATCGTTGGTGGAAGTTAGAAAAATATTAACCAACTTCCACTGTTGCTAAGAGATGTGAGCGGCATTTCAGTCAGATGCTTTGGACACCGATCCACTCAACAGGTACAGCTGAGAGTGGCACTCAAGACCGAAGGAGAATCAGTGTGTTTACTTGCATGCACTTAAATAACCAGGTTACAGTCTGATCTCGGCAGTGATCTGATATCTTAACTTAAACCAGAAACCTTGTTCAATCGAGGTAAGGCGTTAACGAACCCTGATCTCCCTCCCCAGGTAGATTTCTCTTGGACAACACAGGTGTTTAAGGTTGGAAAACAACAGCGGAGCATCTTTTTTTACCTCCATCCAAAGTTGGATTTAAACTAGCAAAAAGTAGCTCTTAAATCAACTGATTAGTCGCCAAAGATGTTCTACTTGGTACTGGGTAATTTCAGTATCAATACCCAACTTAACTGAAGTTATATATACAGTATATATATATATATAATTCCATATATATAATTCCACTTGGCTGAACCCACAGCGACCCAGCTGTGCCTCACTGCAAACCGTCTCTCCGGCCCACCGACCTCCCCCTTATCTCATCAGTGTGTCATAGACCGGTTTGCGTTTGGCGGTGTGTGTGTGTGTGTGCGTGGCCCTCCAGCCTCAGGCAGCACTCGCACCCTGAGATGAGAAACGGTCCAAAAAAACCGATCAGTGAGAAACAATACACCAGAGGCTGAGAGTTAGAGATACAGTAGGCGGACAATAGTTTGATGGTGTGAAAAAAAAAAATCTGTAAATCTGTGAAAGAAGAGCAATTTGTAATCTGGAAAGAAGCCAAAATGTTAAATAAACTGGTGGCAGTGTGAGATTGTGTTTGTATTTAACCTTCCATTAACTAAACTTTAATCTGTCTGAATACACATGCTCATGAACAGCTTGTTCTTTATTCTTATACACCTGCCCAGTACGACCACAGCCTCCTCCTCCTCCTCCCGCCCAGTACAACCACTGCCTCCTCCTCCTCCTCCCGCCCAGTACGACCACAGCCTCCTCCTCCTCCTCCCGCCCAGTACAACCACAGCCTCCTCCTCCTCCTCCCGCCCAGTACAACCACAGCCTCCTCCTCCTCCTCCTCCCGCCCAGTACGACCACAGCCTCCTCCTCCTGCCCAGTACAACCACTGCCTCCTCCTCCTCCCGCCCAGTACAACCACAGCCTCCTCCTCCTCCTCCTCCCGCCCAGTACAACCACAGCCTCCTCCTCTTCCTCCCGCCCAGTACAACCACAGCCTCCTGCCCAGTACAACCACAGCCTCCTCCTCCCGTCCAGTACAACCACAGCCTCCTGCCCAGTACAACCACAGCC